CGGGAATCGCTGTCAAAAGTGGTGGTCAGCTGTAGCCCCTTTGGCCACACAGACCATCAGACCCGGCAGCATTACTCTGCTGAGCAGGAAAGGGGAGGGCACGGTGTAGTGATCCAGGGCCTGGCATTTTGGGTGGGCTGCAGAGGACGGAGGGGAGGGGACAGCAATTCCCCAGCCCTTGGGAAGCCTTGTCCCATTAACCTGAACCTTTCCAACCATGTGTGGGTGCTGCTCCCCCTCCCCCTTTGAAGTCTTTCTTGGACAGCACTAGGAGAGAGAGGTGAGGGGGGGCAGGTAATATGTTGTTGGAAGAGAACTCATCCTTCTCCTGTCTCTTTCCCTGGACAGGTAGAGGAAGAGGCTACTTATGAGTATACTGATCACTACAAGCCGGGACCAGAGCTGGGCCAGAAGGGACTCTGTGCTAGGGCCCTGTATGACTACCAGGCTGGTAAGGCCTGCACGTATGTTGGCTAGGGGTGGGAGGTGGGGGATGGGTGGGCCGGGGACATCATTAGGGAGAGCTACTTGTAGCCCCAGAGGAGAGCTCAGGGTGGGAGCAGGTGTGCCTGGATCAGGAAGAGGACTGAAGATCACTCTGTGTGTGTGTGTGTGTGTGTGAGTGATGCACATACACACACGTATACATATAAACATACATATACACATATACACGTGTACATATATGTCTCTAGATATACAGTTACATGTGTATGTGTGTGTGTGTGTGTGTATATATGTATATGTATATTCTGTGTAGTGCATTCAGGTGCTCAGAGTGCTTTTATATCGATTACTCCTTGTCAGCCTGTGAGGCAGGGGACGAGTATGAATATCCCAGCTTTGCAGATGAGAAAACTGAGGCCAGAGAACTAAACTGCTGCTTGTTACTTAGTGTTCAAGGCCGGATTCCAGTTCCGTTGTCCCTGACTCCACTGAAGCAGAATCAAGGGGCTGGTGTTACATGAGGACAGTGGTTCTGTCAAGAACTGTAGGATTGCTGTTTGTCCCTGTGTTAAAAGATCTTTGATTTCACCCTTATGGGTATCCCCCCCTGAGCACAGATCAGAACCTCTCGGTTCTTTAGTAGATGGTCTTCCATCTTTTGGGGGCTCCTCAGGCACCTGGTCACCAGGCTGACCGTGAACCTCTGCGCTGAATTCTCTGTTGCCTGGAGGACAGTCTATTGTCGGCTTTGTACCAGGAGCCTCCTCAGCTCAGTCAGCTTTCACTGCCAGAGCCCATGCACTGCTGGCCCAGGCTTCGGAACCTGGGGTTCTCTGGGAGGCCCAGGGGACAGCCCTGCGCGGACATGGAGCTGGCACGTGGTGCTGCTGCACGGCAGGGCTGGGCTCGATGGCCCCTGGGGACCCTTCTGCCTCTCAGTCTACCATCCGAGGACCTAAAGATCCCCTGAGGTGGGGGCTTTGGAGGGGCTGAGTGGGGAATGACTAGCTGAAGAGCCTGGCTCACGAGGTATCCCCGAGGCTGTTCCTTATGAGTGTTTTTGCTCTACATCTTCCAGCCGATGACACAGAGATCTCCTTTGACCCGGAAAACCTCATCACAGGAATTGAAGTGATCGATGAGGGCTGGTGGCGTGGCTATGGCCCAGATGGCCACTTTGGCATGTTTCCTGCCAACTACGTGGAGCTCATCGATTGAGGGCTGCCCGTCGCTTGGCTTCTGGACTCTCCAGGTCATTGCTTCACTCCACTGACGCATCATGTCACCTGCCCTGGAGGCTGGGTGCTAGGGTGGCACTGCCTGACAAGAGACCTGTTGGGTTGGGGAGAACGGGAACCCAGAAGCACCCAACCCCCGCAAGCCTTTTTTTTTTATGCTGAAGTGGCGAGGCAACCCCCCATTCAGTGCCTTTCCAGGCTTTGGGGTCTCTTCTGCCAGCCTATAGTTTGGTCTCCCCAGTTACAGCAATAACCTGGTGATTTCACATCCTCAGAGGAGACCTGGGCCCATCTGATCTGCCAGTGTTCCCTGAACTTCTGTCCCTGTTGGTGGTGATGAAGCCGGGCCCTCTTCCCCTCCACAGCCTCTGAGCCCCCCTGGCTGCCAGTGTCAGGCTTCCCCAGCACCTGCGGGTCCCCTGAGGAGCCTGGCCCTCTTCGTTTTCCTCTTGCTTTTGAGGGGTGATGGCTGCAACACTTGTTACTAGAGACCTTTGGGTAGAATGAATTTAGGAAGTGTTTTTATTTTCATATATGACCAAAACCAGCCTGGGGTGCCATGGTTTGGAGGCAGTTTGGGATTTTGTTTTGGGTTTTTTGTGTTCTTTTAATCTGCTGCTCCCTTCATTCCATTCTCCTGTTCCTGTGGCCGCAGTGTGTGTGGGCCAAGGCTAGCAGCCTACACCAGTGGAGTACATGAATCAGATGTGTGAAAATTTCTGCAAACATGACACACCCTGCAATGTGATTGTGTCTCTGTCTTGTAACAAGGGCCTTTTCTCCCAGACAGGCCTTGGGAGCGCTTAGACTCAAGAGCTGGGTTCATCACAGCCCTTCTCCCCAGCTCTGGCTTCTTGCTTCTCCCCATTTCCATCCCATCCCACAGCTTTAGGCAAATAAAAACTAGCCCTTTTCCCCAATCGTGCTGGGGCTCTCTGCCGGGGAAACATTTACAAACTGGCCTAGGTTCTAGAACTACGTCCTTGTGAGTGGGGAATCCCTTTACACCCAGAGTCTGTTGTGCTGGGTGTCACCCAGACATTGGGTTAACAGCACCACCATGTTCTGGGACCCCACTGTGTTCTATCATCAACCATTAGAGGATTAGTTCCCTGTTGAAGTGGACCAGCCCCTTCACATTCTGGTTTAGGCAACTCTCCACCCCAAGGTGGAGAGCCTCTTCAGGCTTCACCAGATGGGAGGAGTGATCCAGGGAGTGCTGATGGCACTGGTCATTCACTGCAGTAAACAGCTACAGATAGCAGCAAAGGACGAAAGCCTCCCACAGCCCTCCCTGATCCTGCATCTTCTTTGGGGCTACCATGCACGACAGAAGCTGACAGGGCCAGGACTGGCCAGGGATTGTTTTTAGGGTTCCGGGACGTGATTTTGATCTGAGAGTACTGGGATAGAGTTGAGTGTTACACTTTAGCTTCCTTTCTGCTGACTAGCTACCAAGGGCCTTGTCCCCATTTGACAGTCCCTCCCCGATGTGCACAGGACCATGCCCATGGGTCAGACATCTGCTCAGACTTAACCGGAGGAGTGAGTGGAGGTGACTTTATTGTGCAGTTTGCTTCTAGGCTATTACTTGGCCTTGCCCTGGGCAGCCACGGCCTCCATGGCCTTCCGGACTGTTTCCTCATCCCCAAGGAACTGCATGGGCTTGGTGGGCTTCAGCTGGTCATCCAGTTCATACACGATGGGGATCCCGGTGGGCAAGTTGAGTTCCATAATGGCCTCGTCTGACATGCCTGTGAATAGCAGAGGAATTAGCAGTGAACCCACTGTTTTGTCCTGACTTCCTGCCTCCTGGGAAGTACCCAGGAAGTAGTACTGTGGGGTCAAGTCAGGAGCAATGATTGGGCCCCGTGGAGTGGACGGTGATGATAACCTCCTTGGTATTCCAGTGACCTTTGTAGCTTGGGCCAGCTGGCCCTAAAGCAAATCCCCACTCAACAGCAAAATCCTAAAAAGTCAACGAAGAAAGGTCATGCTGAAGAAACTAATGCTAAGTGCTCCATGTGTTGGGGGAGGGGGTGGGATGGCTCATCACAAAATGTCCTGCCATCACTTCTCTGTTCTTAAGGCCCAGGAGCTTCCTCTCACCTTTAGAGCTGGAGGGGGCAGATGAGGAAACAGGACCATAGACTTTAGGTGACTTGTCTGATGTCTCAGTGGCTTTGAACCCAGATTTGTTTAGCTGGCCCAGTTCAGGAGATATTGGGTATGATACAGGTTTGGGCTGAGTGGTGGTTAATTCTTGGGCTAAGAGGGAGGAGAGTGGCTTCCCACCCCCCCCAGCATGGGAAGGGCAGGGAGTTGCTTGTGGAAACCTGACCCTGACTGGTCTCATGCTATCATGTCTGCCTGGAATAGCAACTTGACCTTTAGCATCCTCACCCAGCAGTGGGCTCCCCCCAGTGTGTTCAGCTCCAGAGACAGTTCTGGGGTGGAGCTCTTGATGCGAGACACCTGTAGCTATCAGGCATCAAGCATAAAATGTGTCTGTTCACATAGAACCTACTTAGGAGGGTGCTCCTTACCCCCACCCATCCCCTATTTGGGTTATGGACACTGGAAACAAAAGATCATCGATCGTGGACTAGGAAGGGACCTTTGGTGGCATCGAGTTCTGCTCATCATTTTGCAAATGAGGGCGTTGAAGCCCAGGATTTGCCCAAGATTCAAACCTTGGTCCCTATGACATTAAGTCCAGATCTGTTTCCTCTGCATGGTGGGGTTGTGGAAGACTATAGTGGAACAGAGGTGCCCTCTGTCCTTTGCACTCCAGGGAATAGGTGTGCTTGCTCCAAAGCATTTCACACAAAGGACGAGGGAGTGAGAGGAAAGCTCAGGAAAAGTGGAGGACAGATGGGGCTGGAATGGGGAAGGCCTTAGATCTTCGGGTGAAGCCTAGATGGGATATGAATGAGTGTCCAAACAACCTGGAATTGTTACTAGCCTCATTACCGATTATCGTGTTTATTGTTGGTTGTTGGTGACAAGAACCTGATGTTTGCGGAGGTGGGTTCCCTATGTGAATGCCTATAGATTGGAGCACCTGGCCCCGTTGCCAGCTGTTACTCCCTGAAGGTTATAACTCGAAGCTTTGCTACTGCTTGTGAAGCAACGAGGTGTAAAAAGAGCACAGAGGGACCAGAGTTCTTGCTCCATCCTCGTCCCTAACGTACTGTGTGAAAGAAGAGCCACGCCCCTCTGTGAGTCTGTGTGCGTATGTGTGTGTAAAACAACTTTATTTGTCTATCAGAAATGCCCCCAAGTTCCTTACCAGTGGCTGGGACCTGTTTACAGCCCTGGACCTGAAATGTTGTGCTCATTTGTTGAGAACCCGTGCACCTCATCATCGAAAGCTTCAGGAATTCTTTCGTACGAGCTTCTTTACTATCTGCCTCATCATGTTCCCAGAGCAAAAAAGAAGAATCACAAAAAGGCAGGAATTCACACTATCTGACCATGAAGAGTTAAAAACATTTCATTAACCTGGGACGCTGTTTTCTTCATTGGAAGGGTGGCTGTCCATCTTACTGATTGTGGGTAATTGCCCACTAGACTTCCTGAGCAAAACCAAAAACTCATCTGAGCAGCCCCTAATTCTGCACGGTTCTCGTAATAGTTGGCCAACTCCAAATGGGAAAGGTGGCATGACAATCACTGTCTTTGGGGCACACCATGGTAGTGTAGTGCAGTTTGGATATTTGTTGGGAAAGATCTGTTGTGTCCAAACAATATCCACAAAATAAATAGCAGTGCATTTTCAGCAGACTTAGGCCAGCTATAATATATGCCTTTCTTACCTTCTGAAAAGCTTACTGTATGTAAGTCAACTGGTTAAGTTCTGAGTTACTAGACACTGCTTTGCTGGGACCCAACTTTGGGCTCTCAGACACTTGCATTTGAGCACAATTAGGAAAAGGAAGACCTCAACATGGCGCCTTATTTACTCCATTCTGATGGTCATGGAAGCAATAGGAAAGACTCATCCTGACGTGTGGAAAGAGAAACCTTGCTGGAGAAAGGAAAACGAGAAAATCTTTCAGGGTACAAATAACTTGGAGTAAAAACAAAACAATCTTAAAAAACCTGAATTTATAATGGCAGTAATATTGTTTCTCCCTTTCTTCATCAGTCACCACAGAGTACCTGTTCCAGTCTTCTTTTCCTGTGGTGGTCTCTGCAGGTTTTTTTTTTTAACAGCTTTTTCCCCTCGGTGTTTTTAGCTTATCAGAATTACCTTTTCAGTTCTTAGTTCACTTCATCTATATGGGCTTATTGGTTTGGAGGTTAGAGGCAAGAAGCCTTTGTGGCACTAGAGGGTTTCATAGGTATTATTTCCTGGGTGCTTATATCTGGAGTTAGTTGAAAAATTTAGGAAAAATGACACCTGGAAAGTAAGGCTTTCCTTAATACCATTCTGTTCTCTTCATAATCACATTCATGTCTAGCATCCTTCTCAGCCCACACTGATGTAGGGATGACTTCAGGATATCAGACCAATTTTGTTAGGAAATTGGATTTCAATCTCAGACTGAAAATGAGTGAGGCTAATGTAGAGACAGAACATTGGTACCTCCCCCTTCCAAAAAGTGATCAGACAGACACTGGGCACTTTCCAAGGGAACGTTTGAAATGAGTACTTTCATAACAGCAAAACAGATGGCATTTGGAAACACCTTTCTGAGGTGCAACTGTGGATTGAGATCTGCATTTTCAGGAGATGGCTTATTGCTATTATTACGAGTACAAATCAGACCTTGCCACATGCTTCCTATTTTTCCTGAATACCAAGTGAAGCCTTGCAGAACTGGAGTGCCTGCCAGTATGTTATCTAAGTCAATGGGGGCATACCTAGGAGATTCAAGAGTTACCATAGCAGACACCCCTAAAAGGAAGAAAGGGACCAGAGCAAAAAAAAAATTTAAAATGTAACCCCCCAGATTTTTTGCGCAGAGTGAATGAACTGAATACATGTTAACTGCAAACTTGTCAATTTAAAGGGAAGAGAGTGTGAGTGATGCGGCCAGCCAAGGATAGGCACTGCAAGCTGGCTGGCTGGCCACAGGGTAACCCGAGGTACCTTGGTTTTGCCCTATCAGTTTTTCTGACAGCTCACCAGCTGCTTCTCATGTATTTCAAGAAGGCCTACAGGGCAGCAAACTATGAGAATTCCATTAAAAAGAGCCTACTCTTAGAAAAAAGTGGGAAGGATGACACGTTTGTGCCAACATCTGCATTTTCCCCAAAGACACCATGAGAATTCTTTGGCTTTGAACTTGAAAAACCCCACCCCGTGAATAGAACTTTTCACAACTCTGGAGGCTCAGTTATCTCACGTTTGAATAAGCTTTTAATTTGCCTAAGGGAGCAAAAAATATGATTCCACCTTGAAATCACCATGTCCTTTAAAGGTTTTCCTTCATTTCTTTTTCAGAAGTTTATAGGATCCTAGACAGGGCTGGAAGGGACCTTAGAGGTCCCAAAAGTTAGAACATTTGTTTGAGGTCACACAGATAGTAAGTGACTGAACTGGAATTTGAACCAGGGGCTTTGATTTCAAATCTAGCCCCCATCCCACTCAACCACACTGCCTCTGCAGAGTGTCCATATTATGAGACATTTAGAGACTGGATCACAGATGAACCAATTCCCTTTTCAAATAGATAAAACCCACCCATTAGTACTGAGGCTACAGTGACAGAAATCAGTGAAAGTCTACTAAATACTTAGGATGGATCCGTTAGCATTAAAAAAAAAGACAAAGGTCATAGGATCATAGATTTAGTGCTGGAATAGACCTTGAATAAGGTCATCTAAGCCAACCCCCTCATTCTTAGATCAGCCTGGGTACAGTGGGCTAGGGGCTGGGGAGCTGCTTTTTGGAGAATCCTCCGAGGGAGCCACAGGTAGTTTTTTGTGTAATCTACCTCCTCTCCTGCACCTGTCATAAACCCCAGCGCCAGCAGCAGCCACCTCTGTCTACCTGGGGTGGTTTTTTCATCTACAAAATAAGAAAATTGGGCCACATTATTGCTAAGAATCACGAAATATTAGAGCTGCAAGAAACCCGAGTTTGTGAAAGCCATAAACCAATCGCAGAGGGAGACTCCTTGGTTGGCCACCTAGTTAGGGAAGAAGTGGCCTCCTTTTGTGGTCACTTCCTGGGCTGGGCTCCCTAGGTCCTGATTCAGGGAGGGGGCTGGTATGGAGCATATAAGTAAAAATTTTCTCTTGGAGGTTGTGCATGGGGATCTCTCAGAGTCCACCCAGGTCTCCTTGCCTCTTGCTATTTGGCATTGGGCGGGGCTATGGAAATAAATGCCCCCAAAAGTGCATGTTTGGTGACAGCTGGACCTTGAGGCACCTCGGTGAATAGCCTGGCCTATTCTTTGATCTTTAGAGCTGAAGAGACCGAGCAGGGCATTGTGAGCATCCCCACATGAGGGACATAGGGGGCTAAAGGAGAAGGCAGTGGAGGGCTGGGGGTGGGGGGGGGCAGCTTGTCTTTTGTGCTGAACTGCATACATAGAGCAAGTGTGTCTGCCAGCTAGATCACACTTAACGTCTTCCCCCTTCCTCACACCCCATTCTAAATCTTTTTTTTTCTCCCAAACATCTCCTTGGGGACTGAAAATGGGTTCCATGAGGCAAGAAGTTATGAGAAACCTAGGAAGAAGAGATGAAAGGCCTACCTCCTCATTTCCAGGCTCTGTCAGACCCCAATCTGCTAAAGCAGTCAAGATGAGGGCTGGGGCTTAAGAAACCTCTCATCCTGCACCTGGCCCTGGCTGCCCGCTTTTCTCAAGACAGACCCAAGCTAGTATGCCCCCAAGGGGCAAGACTTCAGAAAGCCAGTTCCCCATGCAACATTTAGGGGCTCAGGGGCAAGCTAGGTACTTGCAGACACCAGATGTCTGTCCCTGGCTGCTCATTTGTGACACTAGCAGCTGGTGCTAACTTCAGTGACCACCCACCAAACTCCACTCTTCCACCCACCTGCACTCAGACTCATGAGATAGGGTTTGGGTCCTGGCTCTATAGAGCTAGAGCTCCTGGTATTTTTGAAGCCCTTAAGACAGAGCCTAGAGCAGGGGTGGGGAACCTTTGACCTCGACACCACATGTGGCTCTCTGGGTCCTCAAGTGCGGCCCTTTGACTGAATCCAAACTTCACAGAACAAGTCCCTTAATCAAAGGATTTGTTCGGTAAAACTTGGATCCAGTCAAAAGGCCGCACTTGAGGACCTAGAGGGCCACATGTAGCCTTGAGACTGCAGGTGCCCCACCCCTGGTAGAGGCAACTTTTTTTTTTTATTCCTTATTCTCACCAACCTGTCCTGGTCATTGCTATATCAGTGTTATTGCCCTGTCCTCTTTCTTACACATATATGGACGTGTTCATTCCTTCCCTCCCTACTCCCCTCAGGGTGGGGGTAAGACCAATTCAACATGGGTGATGGTCACCAAAGAGAGGGCGGGGGGGGGAAGTGCTGATTGTTGTCTCTGGCAAAATTGTCACTGGGGTGTTGAGGAGAGAAATACGGAAGCAGACAGCTTCACTGGTGTCAGAATGCAGGAGCAAAGAATGTTAGTGTTTTGTACAGCGCTTCAAGTTTTGCAAAGCACTTTACAAATACAATCTCTTTTGATCTTCACAACAACTCTGAGAGATAGGTATTGTTATCCCCGTTTTACTGATGAAGAAACTGAGGCAGGCATCAGTTAAGTGGCTTTCCCAGAGTCACTCAGCTAGTGAGTGTGTGAGGCTGGATTTGTGCCCAGGTTTTCCTGACTGCAGGCCTGGCATTCTGTCTACTGTGCCACCTAGTCTAAACTTGACATTTTATACAAGAGGAAGCTCAGATCTATAGAGGCAGCCAGGCTTAAGTACAGAACATCTATTGGTAGAGCTAGGGGATAGAACTCCAAATCCCAAGCCAGAGGTCTGTACAGCATGCTCCCTCAGGAGGCTAGGATCTGAGGTCTAGAGCTAAAGGTACCTTGGAGCCCAACCCCTTCATTTCACAGTTAGGGAAATAGAGGCATAGAGACGCTTGAGTCACATGTGTGGCAGCCCCAGTCCCTCATTTCCTACTTGTCTAGTCACCCATTCCTCCACCCCCACCCTCACCCCCCTACCTGCTCCCTGAGCCCTGAGGGCCAGGCTCAGCTGACATAAGAAAAAGGGTCTTCCCTCCCACGGAGTATTTGGCAGTGACAGGTGCTGCTGAGTTTCCTAAGGCCAGTGTGAATTCAGTGGTCTCCAGGCCAAGCTGGCTGGTCCTGGAGGGCGGGGCCCAAGTGCTGTAATTCACTTTTCTGGAGTCCTGGCTTCTATGCATCACTCCCAAAGCTGGTGCAGGCTCTTAAGGGCATTCTTCCACTGGTACACATCCCATCCTGGCTAAGTTATCCCCAAGAGTGCTCAAGAGAAATTTGTGTAGCCTGATTATGAACCGAGCATCCAGAGTGGGGACCAGGCTCTCTGCATGGCCCCAGTTCCATGGCTATCTCCTATTTTGGAGGTGGGGCACCTGGGGAGGAGCTCGAGCCCAGATCAGGAGCTCTGCAGGGCTTGGGATAGGAAGACATTGCAGGGTAGCTATAGGCCAGCTCCCATTGCTAGGATGGAGTCACAGAGATCTTACCTTCCAGGTGCTTGACTATGCCTCGTAAGCTGTTGCCATGGGCAGCAATGAGCACCCTCTTCCCTGACTTGATCTGGGGAGCAATCTGCTCATTCCAGAAGGGCAGAGCCCTGGCAATGGTATCCTTCAGGCTCTCACAGGTGGGCAACTCCCCAGGCTTCAGACCAGCATAGCGCCGCTCCTGTTGAGGGCAATAGAGACGATGCCAAGAATGTGTTCCTAACCAGGGGGCCCAGTGCTTTCTTTCCCCAACCATTCTCCAGGCTAATTGTCCTCATGCTCCAACCCTCCCTCTTTCCCCTTGGCCTGAGGAAGGGAACAGCCCCAAGTTCCATGCATCCCCCTCTCACCTTGCTGATGACTGAATAGTAGGGGTGTGTCTCATCCATGGGTGGGGGTGGGATGTCAAAGGAGCGTCTCCAGATCTTCACCTGTGCTTCCCCATGCTTAGCAGCAGTCTCTGCTTTGTTGAGGCCTGTGAGACCCCCGTAGTGGCGCTCATTCAGGCGCCAGGTCCGCACCACAGGCACCCACATCTGGTCTATACCATCCAGGATGAACCAGAGGGTGCGGATGGCACGCTTCAGCACCGAGGTGTAGCAGATGTCAAACTCCAGGCCGGCTTCCTTGATGGCCTGGGCCCCACGTTTGGCCTCTTCCTTCCCCTTCTCGCTCAGCTCTGCGTCGAACCAGCCACAGAAACGGTTCTCCTGGTTCCATGTGCTCTCGCCATGGCGGACGATCACCAGCCGGTGGGTGGGCATGGCGATGGCGGTGGCAGGCAGAGCAGAGGGGACGTAAGCAGTGGAGACAGCTCTGAAATGCAGCGGAGCACAGTCTGTCGGCCAAGTGTTCCTGGCTTTATGATGCTCTGACTCCACCCCTCCCCCCTTGACTAATTGCCAGCTGGCATTCTGGGCCTGTGGGAGGGAGAGGGACAGTGGCAGGTGGTCAGTGGCCTTGCGGGAAGGAGGAGCCCAAGGCTGGCAGAAGGGAGCCAGCCTCAAAATAACTCTTGAGAGTCGACTCCAGTGACGGATCTGTCCAAAATAAGTCCCGGGCTGGGCCTCTTGCCCAGGAACTCCCTTAGCCTGGGCCAGGGTCTGGGGGCCTCTAGGCCTGGGGCAATGTGGCAAGATGATCTGAGTTTGGGCGTAAAGGTGAGAGGGGCCATCTGAGGGAATGAGTGGATCCCACGGGGCCATCTTGGCTCCTACCCTCAGAGCCCTAAAGCATTGGGGAAGTGCCAGGAGGCTTGATCAAGGAGTAACTTGGGGGTTCTAGGTGTCTCAGGTTTTCTAATGCTGAGCCCCCTCACTCTGGGTTGACATATGCCTTGATGGCAAGTGGTATGGGCCTTTTGGGGGGTCTGGAAAAACAGAAGTTCCCCCCCCCCCAGGGCACCCAGGAAGCTGGGTTGGGGAGGGGGTTCTGGAGGCCACAGGCAGAGATGGTAAAGGTGACAGTGCTGTTACCATGGTGATACACAAATGCCTTGTCCCAGTTGGGGGGGTGGGGGGGGCGGGGTTGAGGGATGGTAAGAGTGAGAAGCCCCCTCTCAGTTTGTAGAAATGGGTCTTAGGTCTCAGGGACCTCACTTGCCTAAAAGTTTCCCATGTAACAGTTTGAAGAGTTAGTACCTGAAAGCTGCATTTTGACCCTTCCATCCCCAGTGTCTCCCTCCACATCCCTTCTCCCCCTCTGGCCAGTGGCATTGGCCCAGCAGTATCTCTCTCCCCCCTCACGCTGGCCCTGAACCAGTTCTATACCATGACTCCTACCAACCAGTCCTACCCACGTGCTCCCTGAATCACTTGGCGATTCATCAGCTCCCATGGATTTAATGACCAACTCGATGCTGATGATACTAAATCGATGTATCCTGCCCCAGTCTCCCTGCTGACCTCCCATCTCTCATCTCCAATTGCCTTCCAGACATTTTGACCTGGATATCTAGTAGACATCTTAAACTCAATATACGCAAGACAGAAGTCATTATCTTTCCACCTAAAACTTCCCCGTGGCTTCCCTCCTACCTTGTTAGTATAGATGGCAATACCATCCTCCCAAGTCCCTTATGCTTGAAACCTAGGAGTCATCTTGGACTCCTCACTATCTCTCACCTTCCCTCACCCCTATATCCAATATGGTGCCAAAGGCTGTCAATTTCACCTTTGCAACATCTTCTCTCCTCTGACCCCGACATCCTCCTGCCGTAAGACCTGCATCCCCTCGTTCCTGGACTATTGTTTAACAGCCTGCTGGCAAGTCTGCCTGCCCCGTCTCTCCCCACTCCGATCCAGCCTCCACTCAGCCACCAAAGGGACTGCCCTGAAGTGCAGGTCTGACCTTGTCACCCTCCCACTCAATAAACTCCAGTTCCTCCCTATGGCCTTCGAAATCAAACATAAAATCCTTTGTTTGGTGGTCAAAGCCCTTCCCAATCTGCCCTTCCTCCTCCAACCACACTTGTCCTGAAAACCTAGAGGGAAAAGAATACCAAGGCAAAGCTGGGATCTGAACCCAGGCATCCTCCACAGCTTTCCAATACTTTCGTATACATGAAAGTCATTGAACCCCTTCCCATTCTTCCCAATGGGTTTGTAAGCTCTTTAAAGGTACGAATCTTGACCTTCCTACTATGCCTTGCAATTCCCCAGACAGAAGCACCTACTACGTTCAAGGCCTGGTGTTATGAGATATGAAGACTGGAGACACATCCCTGCCTTTGAGCCAAAGGGAATCTGTGCATATGCAGGTAAATAAATTTACAAGGTAATCTGAAGAAGGCAGGTGGACCACCAACATGGATTGTGCGTGTGGTGGTGGGAGGGTGGAAGTCTGGGAAATCCTCCTGTAGGAGGTGGCGCGTGAGCTGAAGGAAGCATCAGAGACTCTAAGGGGCAAGGATGAACTGGAAATGTGTCCCAGGCATGGGGTGTGAAGATGGGAGATGAGAGGCTGGGTCTGGGGAAGTACTAGCTGGCTAGCAGGCCAAGGTGGAAAAGTGGGGAGCAGCATGGCACAGAGGGTGGGGACACTCTCCGGCAACCCCACTAAAGCTACTTTTTAGCTGTGTGATCCTGGACAAGTCACCTGACTTCTGTTTGCCTCACTTTCCTCAACTGTAAAATGGGGATAATCACAGCACCAGCCTCCCAGGGCTATTGTGCGCTTAGCACAGAGCCCAGCATGTCTGGAGTATTCAATGAATGTTTTTCATTCATTCATCCAAATATCTTTTCCCGTGGTTGCACAAGAAGTTCTTAGAAGGCGAGGACTCACCGTCTTGTGTCCCTCCCTCCCCCCTGGGACAATGCCCTGGGCACACCGGAAGGCCCAGTTAGCCCCTTTACCTGCACTCCACCAGAGAAGTACAGATGCCCACACTGGCAGAAAGCAAAGAAATCTGGTGGCTCCTTGCAAAAAAAGACATCCCTTTAATGATAATTTTGTTTTTGCCTTTACATAGAAACCACTAATGCCCTACCTGTGGGGATGAAAAAAGGCCAAGAACCACGGGCCCTGCATATTTCTAAAGGGCACTTTGGTCCAGGCATTCCAGGCTTCTACTGACTCTGGCATTCCATTCTCCCCAAAGCCTCAGCTGGGCAAGAATGTGGGGCTGGGAACTCATTCTCTGACACCCAGGAAGAGTGATTTTAAAAGACCCAGGATTTTCAGATGCTCCAGACTAATCTTAAAATACCTTCACCTTCCCAAGAATCAGGATGGGAAGGTTAGACACCAGGAAGCCCAGGCTTCTGCCATGGGCCACTGGGGAGGGGAGCAGAGTGGAATAGTCACCAGACCAATGTGGGGCAGGGTAGGCCCTTCTGCCCCACCCAATCTCTGCAGTCCTTAGGCTTCTCTTGCTACCCACAAATGGAGGCACGTGTAGGACAAGAGACCAGGGAAGTCAGGCATTCCTCTGTTCTGGTGCAATGTACTCCAGGCCCAGGTGTGTGAAGATGTCTTCCTCTGAAGCTGCTGGTAAGGACTCCTTCTGAAACAGGCAAGCGCAGACAGAAATGGAACTATCAGAGTCCAAGTACCAACTAAGTCCCCAGGTGATGAAGAAGGAGGCCTTGGAATCACCAAATTTAGAGGTGGGAGGGAGCCCAATAGTCATTATCCAAGCCATCCTCCGAAAAGAAAGCATCACTATGAGATACCCAGCCTAGGCTGGATGGGAGAAGGAGGGGTCCAGCAGGCAGCCCACTGCCCTGCTGGACAACTCTCATGCTTAGGACATCAGGCCTCCACTGGCCTCTTCATAACTTCTACCCACAGCTGCTGGGTCTGTCCTCGTGGGCCAAACAGAACATTTCTAATTCTTCCTGGATAGGACAGTTTTCAACTACTAGAAGACAGATATGGATAGATAGATGATAGTGTAGAAAGAGGAAGCTGGACGGATAGATGGATAGATACATAGGATAGAGGGAGACAGAGAGATGGATAAATAGGGTAGAGAGAGATGGATAGATGGACAGATAGGATAGAGGGAAGGAGATAGATAGATACATAGACAAGATAGAGAGAGATGGACAAATAGATAGGATAGATACATAGGTAAGATAGAGGGAGGAGGACAGCTAGGTGGCGCAGTGGATAGAGCACTGGCCCTGAAGTCAGGAGGACCCGAGTTCAAATTCAGCCTCAGACACGTAACACTTACTAAGCTATGTGACTCTGGGAAAGTCACTTAACCCCAGTTGCCTTGCCCCCCCCAAAAAAAAGAGAGGGAGGGACAGAAATGGACAGAGGGAGATGGAAGGATAGATACATAGATAAAATGGAGGGAGATGGATGGATAGATAGCCTGGAAGGAGATAGATATATGACAGTTATCTTGTACCTGGTTTCCCCCTTCCCCCCAAAGCTCTGCAGGCTAAATCTCACAATTCCTTCCTTCCCCATTCTGGTTGCCTTTGTCTGCGTGCTCCCCAGTTTATCCCATGTCCTTCCTAACCACCACCTCCCCCATCCCAGCTGAGATCTGCCCCTGCTGTCCTGGATGACGAGGGCCTGGCTCAGACACCAGTTCTGGTCTCCACGCAGGGATTTCTCTGGGTTGGAGAAGGCATGGACTCCAAGGTGCAGGGGAGGATTAGTCCCCCCGGAGCTAAGCCGAAAGACCCTGGCGGGGAGGGAGGAGGTTCTGTCTGTCATTCCCTGATCAGCCATGGGGAGCCAGAGGACGAGCGGAGAATGGTTTCTTTCTGCCTTCCCACCACTCTGCCTCAGCTCCTACCTTTTCTGGGTGGTATAGCCCATGGCTGTTCAGCAGCATCTGCTTCTCTGCCCGGCTGAACCTTCGAAGCTCCCTCTCAAAATGCTGTGGAACAAGGTGAGAAGCATTTATTAAGCACCTACGGTGCTAACCAGGCACTGGACTGAGCACTAGGGATACAAAGAAAGGCAAAAGACATTCCTGCCCTCAAGGAGCTGCCAGTGTGAGGGAGACGACTACCTGCCAATAGCTACGCCCGGGTGAGGAGGAGGAGGAAATCAGCAGGCAGGCACCAGCGTAAAGAGGGGCGGGAGACCTCCAGTAAAGGAGGGGATTTTAGTTGGGACTTAAAGGAAGCTGGACAGCTCAGTAGGTAGCACAGAGGAGGGAGACTGTCCTAGGTATGGGGACAGCCAGGCCAAGAGACAAGAGTGCCTTCCCAGCAGTTGATTGCAGTGGTCCAGGTGTGAGATGATGTTCTGCACTAGAGTGGTGCCTGTGTCAGAGGAGAGAATGGGCCGCATTTGAGAGATGCTGCCAAGGCCTTGCAACAGCTTGGACATGGGAGATGAGAGAGAAGGAGGAGTCTAGGATCACTCCTAGGCTGAGAGACAAAGGATGGTGTTGGCCTCTACAGTAATAGGAAGTCCGCTGGGGATAGGGCTTGGGGGAAAGTTAATGAACTCTGTTTTGGACATGTTGAGGTTAAGGTGTCTACTGGACATCCGGTTTGATATGTCTGAAAGGCAACTGGAGATGTGACCACTGGAGGTCAGGCAGGAGAGAGGTTAGGGCTGGATAAGTCAATCTGAGAATAATCAGCACAGAGATTGTAACTGAGTCCACAGGAGCTGATGAGATCACCAAGGAAAGTAATATAGAGGGAGAAGAGAAGAAGGGCCCAGGACAGAGCCCTGAGGGACACCTATGGTTAGAAGGGATGATCTGGATAAGGATCCAGCAAAGGAGATGGAGGAGTGGTCAGAGAGGGAGGAGGAGAACCAGGAGAGAGAGCGAGGTGTCCTGAAAACCTGGAGAGAAGAGAGTGTTGAGGAGAGAGAGATCAACTGTGACCTGCAGAGAGGTCAAGAAGAATGAGGCTTATTAGACATGGCTCCAATGCCTGGTCAATCTTGGAGTAGGAAGCCATAGCCTTTAGCCCCAGAATCCTAGATTTAGAGACAGAAGGAACTGCAAATGTCAGCTAGTCCAGAGCCCTCATTTTACAGATGGGGAAACTGAGGCCCAGGGTGTGAAGTGGCTAGTGTCTGCTTGCCAATACTGCCAACCCCAGGAAGCCACCTCATTCTTACCTGGGAGCCAGTCCAGCCAAGTAGGGCGAAGGCAAACTGGCTGATAGGGGCTACCACAAGGTCCACTCTCACTGCTTTCCCATCCCTGGAGGGCTCTTTGGGACCCTCTCCAGCCTCTGGGTGGAAGGACGTAGGTGACTTTGGGAGCCAGAGAATGGAGAAGCATCTCTCATAGGCATCTATGGCAGTGCTCTGGGACACCTTGTGCTCAAGGTCCTTGAAGTCTTGGTAATGGTTGCTTTGGGTGTGTTGGTACAAAACAAGACCCTGGGAGGAGTGGGCATCAGAGACTTAGAAATGGAAGGAACCTCAGAAGTGATCTAGGCCAGCCCCCTCCCATCAGAGGTATCAGAGCCCAGAGAGAAGAAACTCAAGGTACCACCAGGAGAGAGGTTTCGCTCCAAATCCAGGGCTATGTTTGCTGCACAACCCAGCCATGTACATGGCAGAGGCAATGGTCCCTCGGGTCTGGGGAAGAAGGGAGCCTCCTGGGGTGTGTGCAGGATTCGCTGGCACCCCGATGGCCACCATGTTTGTCTGCGGGCCTCAAGTCAGGATGGGGACTGGTAATAATTCCACTTACTGCCTAACAAAGTTAGGGTCTGATCCAGTGCCTGGTACATTGCAAATACTTAATCAGGTCCCTGTTGAATGACGGATAATGGTCTCATTCTACAGATGTGGAAATTCCAAGAGGTCAAGTGATTTGCCGAAGTCATACAGCCAGTATGCAGCAGAGTTGGAATCTGAATCAGCTCTTTTGACCTGAGATTCATGCTCTTTGTGCTTAACTATAACCACCTCACCACCCCACTGCTCTACAGCCCAGGAGAGACTCTGGCAGGTGGGTGGGGAGTGAGAGACACTGGCAAGTCCAGATGATTGGCTAGTCCGAGCCTCTGCCCCCCAATACCACAAGCACACACAGTTATGTGTAGTGGTTACCCCAGGCTCCCTTTCTGTAGAAGTCTAGGAAATCCTGAGCTGGTCAAAGGGAGCCAGGAGAGAGTCTTTGGATGGGGCCTCCAGGGACCCTTCCTCTTACCTGAAGAAGCCTCTGGTTTGGGGGAGGGGCCTCCTCCTTGGATTGGTGGTGGGACAGGAAGAGAAGAGAACGAGAAGGGGGAAGGATAACCTGGATCATCAGGGCACCCAGCCCCTCTCACCTGGCTCTCCAGGAGGCCCATCACCTTGGGTATCAGTCCTGCTTCCTGCCCTTCTACAGGGTGGGTGATAAGGAAGTCGACATCATGACCTTGGAGCTTTCCCCTAAAGAGTGGGGTGGAAGGATTCTCCCCTTGTGTCAGAATATCCCCTTCCTCCTCCATATCCCCTTATCCTCCCAATTCCAAAATCACCCCCCAGCACTGGACCCCCCCCCAAGTTCTAGCTTCCTCATCACTTAGGAGAAGGCAGCACCACCCCTAATTTTGGCCAATAAAATAGTGAGGGCAGCTGGCACTGAGGTGGTTACCCCAGGGTTCGCTTTCTTGAGCCCTGAGCCCATGAAAGGGAGGCAGGGCAGGGTGCTTGGAATGGGTCCCAGAGCCACTTCCTCTTACCTGCGAAAGCCACCAGTCAGGGTCACACTGGCACCAGGAAGCACTTGCCATACAGCCTCCTCCACGACCCGTTGGATAGCATCTGCCTCATGGCGCCAGACAGAACTGCTAAGGTCCTCAAAATGGCGGATCCCTGCAGATACCCAAGCCTGGCTCAGCAAGGACCCACTGGAAATGAATCCTCAGCCCTTTCTGGTAACCCTGGCAGAGGGCCACTTCTAGCACATGCTACGTCCCATCTCAGGGGCTACCCAATGAACTATCAACAAGGGTTTTGGGGCTTAGCCAGTATGAGTAGCTTCAAGCTCAGACTCCCTTTGTGGCTCTGGGCAAATTATTAATGCTGTGTGCCTCCATTTTCCTATTTATAAGACAGGCCAAAGGGTCATGGGCCAATGGAAGGGTGTGTGATGTTTATGTTATAATAACCATTAATGATGCCTTCCAGCACCATTTGATTTTCTCATTTCCTGTTGACTAGCCATGAAATCAGCCCACCAGTCCCCACGGAACTGGGTGGGGGAGGGTGTGGAGGGGCCACCCAGGTGGCCTCCCTTCCCCCTGCTCTCGGCTCAGTCACAAGGAAAGGCCTTTGAAATAAACACACACCACTCACTGTCCACTCACCATCCCCAGGAGCTTCAAGAGAGAGGGCAGTGGGCACTCAAGCCACAACAAAGTAAAAGAGTCCTCTTCCTCATGGGAGGGAGAATAGGAAAAGACAGAGCTGAAGGGGAGGATGGAGGAGTGAGGTCACAGGGTGAGTGGCAGAATGGGCTCAGGGTCCAGACAGAAGGCTCCCTCTCATGGCCACAGTTGGGCCACCACCCAGCAGGATGGAGGTGCCTCTTCCGGAGCCAGGGCCACTGAGGTCACTGCCCTCACCCTTCTGTACAGGGAGCAAAAGCTTCCTGGATGCAGTGGATAGATAGTCCATGGGACTTGGAGTTGGAAAGACCTGGGTTCAAATCTTGTCTCTTGGACTCTTACTATCTGTGTGACCAGGGGCAAGTCCCTGAACCTCTCTGGAACACAGTTTCCTCATCTGTAAAATGGGAAGTCTAGATTCCATGGCCTCTCAGGTCCCTTCCAATTCTAAATCCATGATTCTGTGATGTCCAGGCACAATCTATGCCCAAGGAAGGGAAAGTTCACAAAACTCTCATTAAGCCATTGAGTCTGATGCAGCTAGGTGGCGCCATAGTACACAGAGCACCAGGCTTGGAGTAAGGAAGACTCATTTTCCTGAGTTCAAATCTGCCCTGAGACACTTAGTAGCTGTGTGACCCTGGGCAAATCACTGAACTCTGTTTGCCTTAGTTTCCCCATCTATACAATGAGCTGGAGAAGGAAACGGCAAATCACTCCAAATATCTTTGCCAAGAAAACCCCAAATGGGGTCCTGAAGAATTGGACACAACTGAAATGACTGAACAATAATGATGATTATAACAATAGCCAGCAAATCATATAGTATTTTAAGGTTTGCAAAGCAAACATCTCATTTAATCCTCCCAGTGACTATGTGAGGTAGATGGTGGTATCATCCCCGTTTTACAGATGAAGAAACTAAGGGTTGAGAGAAGGGACTTCCAAGCTCTCCTTTCTCTCTCTCTTTGTGCATCCAGCCCATGCTGAACCGAAGTAGTGAGCAGCTCGTTCTTCTCTGCTGCTGGGTTTTCTGGTCGGTTCCTAGGTTTCTTTTGGTCTCCCCACAAGGGGATCAGGGCTGCCATGTTTGCAGGGCCTGGGGCTTACACTCTCCTATCTCCCTTTACCATTGCTAGAGACGAGTTTAAAAAGTACTGTAATCTATTGAACCAATGAGAAACGACAAAGGATACTGGTGTGTGGGTTCCATGTCTTCCTCAAGGCCCTCTGGGAGCATGGATAATTAGGAACTGACTAGATCTGAGCCTTCCTCTTGAAAGAAGCTAAGGTCCTGGGCCCCCTCCTCTTCCCTCTCTGTTCCTTCTCAGTGGACTCATCTCAGATCCTAGGGGTTCAAAGGCCCCTACGCTGAGGATTCCCCTTCCTCAAGCTCCAGCCCCAGCACCAACTTCCTAGACACTTCCTAGTGGATTTCCCATAGATATCTCACCTTCACCACAGCCACAACAGAGCTCGCTGTCCTCCCCCGCCAGCTGCAAACCTTTTGCTTAGCCTCCTTTCTGTCAAAGGTACCAGCAACAAACACCCCGGTTTGCAGTCTTGGAGTCATACCCTTCCTCACTTCTTGGATCCAGCAGAATGTAAGTACCTTCAAGGCAGGGGCGGCTTAGTTTTCACTTGAACATCTCCAGTGCCTGGTGCCTAGCAGGCTTCTAATGAGTGATAGAATGACCTTCTGCAATGCAAGTGACCTTCTGAGCTAAAATCAGGAGACATTTGTCCCTCAGAACCCTTGCAGGTGGAGATTCTGAGAGAAAGCCACCAGGACCTATCTGTCTGAGAGGAACCACAGTTCCCCATCTCCTCAAGAAACACTGAAGCAGAGGAGAGAGGAAGGAGATAAACATATATTAAGTTCTTACTATGTGCTAAGCACTTTATAACCATTATCTCATTTAATACAACAACCCTGGGAGGTAGGGGCTGTTATCATCCCCATTTTACAGAAAAGGAGACTGAGGCAAACAGGTTAAATGACTTGCCTAGGGTTACACAGCTAGTAAGTGACTGTGACTGGATTTGAACTCAGCCTTCCTGACTCCTGGCTCATTGCATTACCCACTTGCCTCTAGGCAATGGCTTTGGAGTCAGAGGGCTTGAATCCCACCTGTCATTATCTAGCTGTGCGTCCTGGGGCACATTGCTTAACCTGTCTGGGCCCCAGTTCCCAGCTCTGTGAAATAAGGGAAATGGGGGCAGGTGGTGGTGTTGCACCAGATGGTCTTTAAGATTCCTGGCAACTCTAAAATGTATAATCCCATGTTCCTCACCTGCTTCCTGCTGCCGGTTCAGTTTTCTGGTCTGTCCTTGGAGATCTTCCAGGGTCCGCAGCCCCTCCCGGTACCATTTGTCAGCGGTCTTCACCCCAACTCCAAAGATCTGGGTGAACAGCTGGTGGGAGGAATTCACACAGGACAAGATAGATCTTAGAAAATAACCACTGCACCCATATTAGATGTGTATGTTTATGTAGGTACATACACACACATTTATAATCATAGAAATATATATATTTATGTGTGTGGATACGTATATATACGTATACACATATGTTACATAAACATATTTATATATGAACGTGTATATATATAATACACACATATGTACATATGTATACACACATGTGTGTACACACACATACACAGGGTGTCCCAATAAGCTTAAGTAATATCTAAAAATTTAATAGCTATTAAAGCTTAAAAGTTCACTAAGATTTTTGGGACACCATGTATTTTTAATTAAAGTTTTAAAGTACAGTAAGACTTTTGGGACACTGTGTGGTGTTCATGCATGTGGGTGACATATATACATAACAAAGGTACACAATAAACCTTGAAGAACAGACAAGGAGGTCTGCTATTTGGAAACGGTCAGTGATTTTGGCATTGGGAGCTCCCTCCCTAACTGGTAACTTTGTTGATCTGTCCCAGGGAATTGCTGGAGACTGGAGAAGGCTGAGTCTCCTGGTTAAAAAACAAGTCAACCAACATCTATTAAGAGCTCATTGTATCTACACGGCACAGTGCTAAGCACTGGAGATCCAAAAAAGGGCAAAAACAGCCCCTGAGGAAGGAGTTCACCTAATGGCTCAAGATGCTACTGATGGATGAATTCTGAAAAGTGAGGCAGAGGGATGGCTCAAGTCAATGTTATTATCAATACTGTCATCTTGTTCTCTTTCTTTCTTTTTTTTTTTTAAAGGCAATTAGGGTTAAATGACTTGCCCAGGGTTACACAGCTTGTAAGTGTCAAGTGTTTGGTCTGAGGCCTGATTTGAACTCAGGTCCTCCTGACTTCAGGGCTGGTGCTCTATCCACTGTGCCACCTAGCTGCCCCTCTCATCTTTTTTGATGGGGTTCAGACAAGTGGTTCCAGGATGAATCGTCATCACCATTACATCCTATTACATAATTATTATTCCTTGATATTTAATTTTCCATGGACTACTGCATAAGTGGATGAAATAACCATTTTCTGTAGTTGAATAACAGCATTAGGACAAATACTAATTCTCTGTGGTCCCACTGAAAGCATGTTGGAGAAGGAGCATAACGTAGTCGACAGCAAGCTGGACCCAAAGTCAGGAAGATGATGGTTGGAATCCCACCTTAGTCACTTCCTAATTATGTGATTTTCAGCAGTCATGTAACCTCTCTGGGTCTCAGTTTCCTCATCTGTAAAATGAAGGGTTTGGACTCATTGACATCCATGGTCCCTTCTGGCTCTACAGCTATGATTCTGTGATGATAACAGGTCAAGGTCATTCTCATGAAAAGTATTAATATCCAAGCTGAACAGACTCTAACTCCCACATCTCAAGGTCATCAAGTGTATATTATTCTTCGGTTGGTTAATTATGATGATCAGACCATCACAGGTTACCTTCCAGAAAACAAGAATTTATGTCTGGGGTCATTAAAGGTCTTGAATGTATCCCAAGGCCAAGTTACCCCAAAGCCCAATCATGGGAGTGTGGACAAAACAACCCTTGAGCTCAGGGCCAACCAGTGTTCTTAACATCCACGGACACTTGAAAAGTGGGGCATTGTCAAGCTTTTTCTCCATGAGAGCAATCCAGCCTCAAACTGCATTGTTGCCAATACAAACTAGTGCTTGTATGGAGATGGAAAAGGTTAGCACAGGACCGACAAGCCTACAGGCTCAGAGGAGCATGCCATGGCCCTCATCCAAGAGAGCGCCGGAGGGCATCTTGGCCGCTTTCCCATTCCCTGCATTCACTATTTGTCAGAGATGGAGCCAGATATCATTTGGATCCTTCGATAAATCACACTGGAACATAATGTAAATGGTGCATCGGGTTCCACATTTACCCTTTAGTGAAGCGGAGGGAACAACTGTCATGTCATTCTCCATTTAGAAAGCACTTGCTGCTAAATGTTGGGGAGTCTGATCCCTTCTCCAGCCCTTGCACTCGGTTCCACAAATGCCCCAGAAAGAATGGTCACTGACCTGAAGAGGGTGGGAAAGAAGCGGCTAACAGGGAAACAGATGAGTGATGAGATAGTAAGAATGCACACTACTGTCCCTGAGGTGTTCCCATCCCCCGGCTAAGATGAGCGATATCCCAGGATAGGGGGAGAGCCGGCAGACGTGGTTCCTTAGCCCCTGCCGATGATCTCTGAGAAATCACGGAGAGCAGGGGTGCCACAGGACAGGGCCAAAAAGACTAGAGTCTGTCAACTTAAAATCCTAGGAACTTGACTTCGATTCCTTGCAAAATTCTAGAGTGTATCATTAAAGGGAGGGTTTACTAACATCTAAAAAGGGATGTAGTAATCAGAAAAAGTCATCATGGCTTCATCAAGAGTAGATCATACCTTCCTTCCCCTTCCTCCCTTCCTTCTTCCCTCCGGGTTACTAGACTGGTATGTCAGGGGAATACTGTATTAGAACATTTATCAACTTCTTTTGTGGGAAATATGGGATTGATAGCACGAGTTGTCTCAAGAATTGGTTTAATGAATGGGCCCAAAGAGTCATCACCATTAGTGGTCTGATGTCCATGTGGAACAGAACTCCAGTGGAGAACCTCTGGGTTCCATACTTGCCTGTGTTTTCAGAGTTTTAACAATTATTTATATAAAAACACAGATGGTATGCATATCAGATTTGCAGATGAAACAAAAATAGATGGCATAGTTAACCTCTTAGATGCCAGAATCAAGTGACAGAAATATCCTGGCAGGCTAGAATGATGGGCTAAATTCAATAAGAAGAAATTTAGTTAAGATAAATGTAAAATCCCATGCTTGAGTTAATAATAATAGCCAACATTTATATATAATTTTACAAATATCATCTCATTTTATCTTTAAAACAACCCTGAGAAGTAGGTGCTATTATTTTCCCCATTATACAAATGAGGAAATTGAGGCACAAAGAAGTTAAATGGCTTTCCCCAGTGTTTATAGCTAGAAAGTGTCTGAGGCTGCATTTGAACTCAGGTCTTCCTGACCCAAATCCAATACTTTATCCGCTGCACCATCTAGCTGGTTAAAAAAAAAAAATCAACTTCATTAGATTGCGTGCCATATTGGGGAGGGAGGTGGGGAGGGAAGGGGAAAAAATTTAAAACTCAAAAGCCTATGGAAGTGATTGTTGATAATTCAAAATTAATTAAAAAAAATCAACTTCCCAAGTGCAAATTGCAGGAAGTGGTGGGTAGGATGTGGGTAGACATTAGTTTGTCTGAAAAATATCTGGCGGTTTTAATGGATAGCAATTCAATTTCAATTAGCATTTATTAAATGCCAACAAAACAAAACAGTTACTACCCTCAAGAAGATTACATTCTAATGAATGGCTAGCTGAATCTGAGTTAATGTATAACAGAACAGCTAAGAAAGGAATGCTTTCCTCATCTAAGAGATGAGAAATAGAGGTCAGAAATGAGATGCCAGAAAAGGGGAGGGGATGGTTCCACTGTACTCTGACATGGTCCCAGCAAGACTGCAATATTATATTGAATTCTAGGCATCATTTACGATGACAAACCAGAACACTTGTCTTTTGTCTGTCTTTGTATCCCCAGGGCTTAGCACAGTGCCTGCCTGGTACACAGTAGGTGGTTAATAAATACTTACTGGTTGACTGACCTTCAGATGATGGTGAAGAGAATGAAGACATGAGCTCTCTCCCCTCACTCCACTCACCTTCATTGTCTGGTATCTCTCTGATTGTTTCACTCTTTCAACTTCACTAGAAATTCCATGTTCCAACAGTTCCTGTTGAAACAAAAAGGGACAAATTAGTGAGAGGCTGAGCCTGGTAATAAAAAAGTTGGATGAAAAATCATGGGAACATGGATCTAGGGCTAGAAAGGACTTTAGAGGAAAATGAGTCCAAGCTCCTCATTTCACAGATAAGGAAACTGAGGCAGAGGTGAAGTCATTTGCCTGGGGTCAAAAGCTAGGAAGTATATGAGGCAGGGACAGAACTCGGTCTTCCTGACACCAAGTCTAGGGCTCTATGATACTCTACTACCTCTCAGGGGCCTGAGAACGCTCAGAACACAAGCTAAAGGGGTCTGGCAGCCAGAGGTCCCTTCCCTCCTCTCCCCACATCTCTAGAACATGTGCCTGGGCTTAGGTGTCATCTTGGCTGATACATCTTCCTTTTACTTCTGCAGCCTAGGTGTCCCTCTGATCAGCCCAAAGTTTCAGACCCCTGGGGGGAATGATGTGGGAAATGAAAACAGGTAAGAGGGGTTAATGGTAGCTTGGAGAGATTCACTCCCTTCAAAGGTGGGAGAAGAGAGAAGGTTACCTGCACAATCCTGGAAGAATGATCTCCAAAACAGGGAAGCCCTCGCAGCTGGCTCACGTTGGTGATGGGGCCAGGCAGGGCCCTGAGCACTGAGGCAGCCCGGCGGAAGGAGATGAGACGACCCTGGCTGCCCTCAAAACCTGCAGCCTCTGCCAGGGTCTCCAGGGCCTCCTGGAAGGATGACACCCACGTCAAAGAGGGTCAGCAGCCTCGAGGCCTCATGTGGATTGCATCAATCCAAACAACGGTGAGAGCTAGCCAGACATGGAATGGATGGCTTGGGGAGTTAGTGGGCTTCTGGTCATCTTTGTTCAGTCATTTCAGGCGTGTCTGACTCTTCGTGACCCCACTTGGGGTTTTCTTGGCAAAGATACTGGAGTGGTTTGCCATTTCCTTCTCCAGATCATTTTACAGATGAGGAAACTGAGGCAAACAGGGTTAAGTGACTTGCCCAGGATCACATAGCTAGCAAGCATCTGAGGCCAGATTTGAACTCAGGAAGATGAGTCTTCCGGAATCTAGGCCCAACACATATCAAACAAAGGCTACTTATCTATAGTGAGAATTCTTTTTATTATCTTTTTTTTTTTTTAGGCAATTGGGGTTAAGTGACTTGCCCAGGGTCACACAGCTAGTAAGTGTCAAGTGTTTGGTCTGAGGCCGCATTTGAGCTCAGGTTCTCCTGACTTTAGGGCCGGTGTTCTATCCACTGTGCCACCTAGCTGCCCCCGAGAATTCTTTTTAGAGTGTGGGTTGTATTACATGGCTGTTGAAGTCATAGGTTCCCACATTTAGAGCCACAAAGGACCTCTGAGCTACATAGTACAACCCCCCCCCCAATTTTATTTTCAGTTCCAAATTCTCTCCCTCCTTATACCCCTCTCCCACCCATTAAGAAGACAAGAAACCCACACCAATTATACATAGCTACCAATTTCACAAAGGGAAAACTGAGAGTGAGACAGGGGAAGTGGCTTGCCCAGTGAACAGAGGTTTAGAACCCAAATCCATGGAACTTATGATCACTGTGTCATGCTGCCTCCAACCCAGAGCAGCAACTAAGGATGGGATGACTGGGTCTTTGCTCCAGGGTGCTGATGTCTAGAGGTATGCATTTCATCAATTCTCCCTACTCTTCTACACTCCAGAGGAACCCCCTCTCCCACAAAAAACTCCTAATTCTGGCTCTGCCTAATTTTGAAATCCTGTGAATACCAGGGGGTGCTCTTAGATCGTGAGCTCCTTGAGGGCAGGGATTGCATTTTGCCTTTCTTTGTATCCCTCGTGTTTAGCACAGTGCCAGGCACACAGTAGGTACTTAATAAATGTTTATCTATTGATTATTCCTAAACCTACTCTCTCTGAGCAACCAAACACCAAA